GACTCCCCACTTACCTCTCACCTTCACAGGCATCTCCCATCGTCACCTGTCTGACCACCTGTCAGAGCTCGTGGAGCAGACCCTGAGTGACCTGGAGCAGTCCAAGTGCATCAGCATTGAGGATGAGATGGATGTGGCACCTCTGAACCTGGGCATGATTGCTGCCTATTATTATATCAACTATACCACCATTGGTAAGGGGCTGGCAGGGGCTAGGTTTGTGTCTGTGGGGAGCCTAAGCTAAAGGAATCTTACAGGGGTCTGCGGCCCACAGGGATGAGAGATGATGGGGATTCCAGAGCCCCCATGTTTGTGAGAGGGACATATTGCAGGGTGGAGCTAGGGTAGCCCAGGCAGTCTCCTCCCTGCTTCTTTCCTGCCTGCTTTTGACTCCTCCTAAATCTCCTTCTCGTTTTTTGTCAGAGCTCTTCAGCATGTCCCTGAATGCCAAGACCAAGGTGCGTGGGCTTATCGAGATCATCTCCAATGCAGCAGAGTATGAGAACATTCCCATCCGGCACCATGAAGACAACCTCTTGCGGCAGGTGCGGACGTCTGGGCTTCAGGAGAACATCCTTGGAGTTCAAATGTGGCCTGTGCCAAGAGCACGTGGTATCCCTGTCACCACAGGACAACCCCAATCCCCTCCCAACACCTCCATACCTCCCTCACCTCCACACACATCTCTACCCCCACCACCCACACCTCTCTGCATTTTGAAGGGTTGTTAGCCTTGGACAGGTGGTGCTGTTAGCCTGAGAGCTCATCTTAGGCAGGGTCACCTGTTAGTCACCAGCTGTTTTTCTTCCACTCTGCAGTTGGCTCAGAAGGTGCCCCACAAGCTGAATAACCCTAAGTTCAACGATCCGCACGTCAAGACCAACCTGCTTCTGCAGGCTCACCTGTCCCGCATGCAGCTGAGTGCTGAGCTGCAGTCAGATACAGAGGAAATCCTTAGCAAGGTATGGTGTGGGTGTGGGTATGGGGTGGAGGGGCCAGTGGTGGCCTATGAAGTAGTTCCAACCCTGCCTGTTTTTGCACTCCTGTCCCTGTGCAGGCAATCCGGCTCATCCAGGCCTGCGTAGATGTCCTCTCCAGCAATGGGTGGCTCAGTCCTGCTCTGGCAGCTATGGAACTGGCCCAGATGGTCACCCAAGCCATGTGGTCCAAGGACTCCTACCTGAAACAGCTGCCACACTTCACCTCAGAGCATATCAAACGTTGCACAGACAAGGTGAGCTGGGTCTGGACCTAGAGTGTTGAGTGGCTGAGCCTGAGAGCCGAGTGTCCTAGATTGGGGATGGCTTGTGGGAGGTGAGTCACAGTAAGGGAAACTTCTGGTTCCTCTGAAGGTGGAGGTGCTGTTGAGATACTGAGATGCTAGCGAGCTTGATGATTGTGGGCTGTGTTCTTTCTGGAGCCTTGTCTTCTAGGGAGGAAGTAAAAGTAGCAGCTGTTTGGAGCCAGTTTCATTTCCTATTAGTATGTGTTTTCTTCTGACCTCTGAATACCCATTGCAGGGAGTGGAGAGTGTTTTCGACATCATGGAGATGGAGGACGAAGAACGAAATGCATTGCTTCAGTTGTCTGACAGCCAGATTGCGGATGTGGCCCGCTTCTGTAACCGCTACCCTAATATCGAGCTGTCTTACGAAGTGGTGGATAAGGACAGCATCCGCAGGTGAGCCGGAGAGGGGTCCCTTCTGGGTACAGCATGCTGGTGTGATTTGTGACCCCACTGCCACATCACTAATGTGCTGCCCTGCTTTTCTCCCCCACAGTGGTGGGCCAGTTGTGGTGCTGGTGCAGCTAGAGCGAGAGGAGGAAGTCACAGGCCCCGTGATTGCACCTCTCTTTCCACAGGTATGTCCTGCTAGCTGCCTTTACTTGTTGTTTACTTGAGGCCCTGTTCATTGGCTAGAGTTGGGGTACAGGGGCACATTGTCTTCCTCTACTTCATATGTGGGATGCCACCACAGTGTGGCTGATGAGTGGTATAGGTCTGCACCCAGGATGTGAACCCGCAAACCCAGGAAGACTGGCATGGATGTTAGCTCAGGGCTGATCTTCCTCACACACACACAAAACCATCCAGTTGATGGGTGAAAACATCAGTTCAGTTGTGCAGTATGTCTGTAACTGTGACTGTTTAGGATGCATTTCTCTGTAACCCTAAGTGGCCCCAGGACAGTTGGGCTTTTCTAGTTGGTGTTTCTTCTCTCTTGTTTCTCACTGTCACTTACTCTGCTTCCAGTTGCTTGGTTCTTTACCACCAGAAAGAAAATCTGATACGTGGGAGAATAATTGAAGGTTGAAAGCAGAAATTACATACACTATAATGTTTAATTTTACAAACTAGTTGTTTAATAGGCTCTGAGGAAAGAGCACTTTAAACTGGAATACTTGGGCTTTCTGAGAGTGGAGTGGCCAGTAGAGAGGAGTTCTTGATAGAGGCAAGGCCTACTTTGGATATTCTCTCCTGGCCTGTTAACATGTTTTTCTCATCTGGCATATATGCCTTTTACTTAAAAGGGTCTCTGAGGAATCCAACACTGCCAGGCCCCAAAGACTAGATCTCTAATAGTGAAAGCTTAGATTCAGTGGCAGGTACTAAATAGGAGAAGGTACTCTGGGATAAGGAGATGAACCAGAACCAACAAATGAGTTCATCTACCTACTTAAAAACTGAGTTCATCTGAGACACCATCGACAGTTGAAAATCTCAGTTATATCAAGTTGCATTTCAGGAAGAAATTTTAGAAACCCTTCTATCTGGTTTTTGTTTTCCTACTTTTATGACCATTCTCATGGTCTCATTTGGCCATCAAGTTTTACATGCTGAAATTCTTGGCTTTTGGTCACTGCAGAAACGTGAAGAGGGCTGGTGGGTGGTGATTGGAGATGCCAAGTCCAATAGCCTCATCTCCATCAAGAGGCTGACCCTGCAGCAGAAGGCCAAGGTGAGTGTGTCCACTGGCCCCAGCATTTGTTCTGAGACGGGGGCAGAGTGAGAACTCTTGCCCTTGTGTCTGTGCTCACCCTGACTTCTGCCTGCTTTTTCTAGGTGAAGCTTGACTTTGTGGCCCCAGCCACTGGCGCCCACAACTACACTCTGTACTTCATGAGTGATGCTTACATGGGATGTGACCAGGAATACAAATTCAGCGTGGATGTGAAAGAAGCTGAGACAGACAGTGACTCGGATTGAGTCCAGAGGATTTACTCTCATGTAGAGGAGTTGAACCTGAATTAGGAAGATGCACAGGTCTGCGGGATCTCAGTTGTGAAAGACCAGGTCTGTTGGTGTGAGGTCTGGCTGGTCAGTGCAGGTGCTGTCCCACCCCACCTCCACTACTTTTCCCTCTTGTTACCTTGCCATCCAAACTTTGGATCTTGTGTCTGCAGGTGTCATGTAGTTGTCAAGCATAAACTGTCCATAGCATTTTTAGGCATGTCGTTTGTAGTTCCTTTTGTCAGACGTTCTAATAAAATAACTTGGAGAAACCATTTGTCTTTGCAATGATTCCAAATTATGTTTCCTTTCTTCAACCTAAGGCCTGTGGCCAAAAAAGATTTGGGTTTTTTAGCCTTTGAACTTGGGTATAATAAACACTTCTAGAGGACAAGGCTGCTTTTTAGTTGGGCTGTCATCTGTAGCCATTGCAGTCAGTGTGGAGGAAGGAAGGTGTTCGGCAGCTTCTCTGCAGTCGGGCTTATTCCCTTGGTCCACCTCTTCTGTATATAATGCAGAGATCAGCACTACTGCAGGAACTAAGACTGAACTTTGGTAGAGAGCAACTTTCTCAAGATCCGCAGGGTCTCCTCCCATAAGGAGGCAGCACCAGAAGGGGGATTAAAATGCACCAGCTGAGTTTGGTAAACCAATTTTGCAATCCAGATCTACAAATTTTCCTCTTCAAATTCTTGCCCTCTGTGTTCTTTAGGAATATGCATACATTTGGAAGATAATTCTGAAGAATAATTTCCTGAGGCCAGCAGTTTTCAAATGATTTGTTGGTCTTAGGACCCCTTTATACTACAAACAATTGAGGACCCCAAAGAGCTTTTATTATCTAAGTTATATCCATTGATATTTACTATATTAAAAATTAAAACAATTTAAATGCATTTTAAAGAAACAGTAACTTAATTATGTTAACTTTTTATGAAAAATAACTTCCAAAACATCCAGGGAGAAGAGTGGTATTTTACATTTTGCAAATCTCTTTAATGTTTTGCTTAATAGAAGACAGTTGGAGTCTCACAGCTGCTTCTATAATCTGTTGAATATTGAGTTGAAGTAAAATTACGTAAAGCTGACTTCACACACATACGGAGCTGGAAAAGGGAGGAGCTTTTAAATAGACTTTTCAGGTAATTGTGGCTATTTGATACTACACTGAGACTCCACAAGTGGTTGTTTCTTACAGGCAGTGTGGAATCTGAAACCTTATCAATAAGCTTTTTGTACTCTGCTACATTAAAATCCACTGGTCTGTCTCACACTTGGAATGAGTCTCTTGCCCATGAATGATTTTGTAACATCTTGCATTAGTCATTTGGGAAATGTTGGTTCACTGAATTATGCAGACTTTCCAAATGCATGTATATCATCATACAAATCACATTTGTTAATATCACCACCAATCTCCTCAGAAAAGTCCACTCAGAAGATGTCAAGCTTGTGGTGGCAATACAGGTTTTCAAAAACTAATTTTTGTTTGAAAGCTTTCATTTTATCATTGGCAACACTCAGTTTCCCTTGAAGTGAAAGACTCATTCCACTCGTTTTCCAGAAAATGTCTGCCAAATAGCCAAGTCTAAATACCAGAGTTTGCTAGTTCTTTCAAGTAAAGATGGTATGCCATGAAGAACACAGCTAATTCAGTTTGCAACTCAATCGCACAACTTTTTTTCCTCAAGACAGCATTACTCCATCATTCAGCAGAAATGATGAATACATGCTTCCCATTGTCACAGGATCTTAGCAATCTCAAAGGTCAAGATTTAATACAATTTAATTTTATTAAGGATGTTAATTCTATCAAAGGCATTTCTAAGTGAAGTTGGCAATATTTTTACTGAGATCAAGGCAGTGACGACTACTAGTATTTGGTGCCACTGCCTTGATTCCTGCCAAGGTGCGAACGGCTGATCTCAGATGCCCCCGAGAGGCTCTCAGGACTTCCAGGATCTGCAGACCACATTTTGAGAACCACTGCTCTAGGTACTGTCCCAGCTGTCTTTCCAAAATCTAAGGTCATGATTTCTGTGATGTGAAAACTTAGAGGGCTATTCCTAAAGCTGCAGCCTTCACTTGAAGTCGAAACCCATTTGGAAGGGAGTGTCAGAAGACAACTTGAGTGGGGCTGAAGAACTGATTGCCTACCACAACCTTTTCCCATTATCACTCCCCTAAGGAGCCTTGCTAGACATCTTTGTCCTACTCGCTCCCACCATGAAAATTTAATACCATGGTCATACTGTGTGTTTATGTACTGTGGTCCTTTAGAGTGCCACAAATTACTGTCTCCAAGATTTCTTCCCTTTACCCAAGAACCCAGTTTCATCCCCACTGACAATGTATGGCCTGTGGCCAATAATAACTCTCCCTTTTAGGGTTCATGTCCTTCCAAATTTATTTTCCAGCATTCCCCAGTTGCCTTCACAGCATAATGGCACACAAGATACATGAGGGTTTCTAAGGGAAAGCAGAGGTGTCTCTTACTTTAAACCAGCCTACATTAAAAAGTTTCCTTCAATGTTGATTGAATGTCTTAAATGCAAGGATTTACCCAAACAGTGGGAAGGCAGAACCTATTTCAGAAAAGACTCACTATGGAATTCTTTTAAACTGTGAATGTCCTTATAATATAAAACAGGACTTGGGACTCAGATGGATTATTTCTAAAAGCTTACAATTTCAGAAAGGTCTGAGATACACTCCTCCTACATATAGATGCTGTGATTATAAATAGTATATTCACTCTCCAAAATTTAACTCTGTGCCCTAAAGCAAGCAAAATCTGTGGCATAACTACAATGTGCTGATGTTCTGTAGCTCTTTACCAAGGGCCCTGTGTCAAAGGAGGGGAAGAGCGAGTGGTTCTGTGGCTCTGCCCTTCTACCCAAGTCTGAATGGAAGAGAGCCAAGTGCAACGAAGGTCAAGGATGCTCCCCCAGGTCCTCTCAGGGGCTGGAAAAGTCTTATGACATTTTCTGGGGAACCATGATGCTGTCCAAAGTTGAGGTGGCTCAGAGGCCTTCAGGCCGCTGATACTTCCAGAAGGCCACCTCCCCATCATCACTGCAGGAAGCCAGAAGCCCCGGCTCCTTGGGGTTCCAGGCCACACAGTTGACATCCTGGGAATGGGCCTGAGGCAAGTGGGCTGTCAGGGAGAAGGTGGGCTGCTGCGGATCTGAGCTGGGATCCTCCTCAAACACTCGGATGGCATCATCCCCACAAGCTGTAGCCAGGGCCCCTGTCAGCTGACACCTGGGAGGAACACGTGCATCAATGTGTATGCAGGTGGCTCCTCCCTCCCCAACCTGGCAAATTAGGTAGAAGACACTGGTTCTACAGTTGCTGGCCTGCTCTCTTCCCAAACTTCAGGCCTCAGCTAAAAGCCTCTTACTGAAGAGCTTCCCTAAATAATATACAGCCATAAGCATGAGCCCCCTGAGACTTCAAGTGCTGCCATCTAGGTTTTCCCCCAATATAATTAACCTAGAAAACTACATATGATTCTGAATTGCACTGTTCTCACTTAGCATAAACAGTTTCCCTTGTCACGAAGTATTCGTCACCATTTTTTTACACAGTGATATAGTAGGCCATTGAATTTTACCATCCTTAAGTCTGTTTTTTGTTATTCCCAAATGTTTGCTAATATAAAGTTTAGATGCACATCAACTTTTTTCATTATTTAGGATTATTTCCTATGCCTGACTCTCCTATATAAATAGTGTGGTTTTTCTAGACTGCATAAGGGTAGAGTCAGTGTTACCAAACCATAAAAAACCCAACCACGAAGCCACAGTTTGAATAATATTTCTGGATGGTATGGTGCTCTGTGAGCCCCAAAGGCAGGTGCTGCCCTCACAGCCTGGGATCTTCACGCAGGTGCAGGCCTGGGTTTAAGTCTGTTCCCCGCTCTTGTGAAGCCCAGACCTGCCAGCTCTAAGCCAGCATAGGAGTCGGGCCTGACTGAAGACATGAGGTGGCTGCTCTCCATTCCCATGTACTCCCAAAGGTGGCAGAGAGCAGCACAGGGTCTTGCCTTCTCTAAAATCTCTCCAAACTGGTGGGGGTGGGGGGGTGGGGGGGGAGATGGAGGTCTTACCAAGCGACGTCATAAATGGTCCTGGAGTGGAAGCCCGACAAGGTGCAGATACATTTCCAGCTGGGGTCAGAGCCGCTGCATGCCACCCCTGCACGACAGACTTCTCTTGAGCCTAACACGTGTCTGTGTCCTGGGCAGCTCAGGGGAGTAACTGCCCCACTGCAGAGGAGATCCTAACTTGTCCACCCTCGCCCCCACCTTCAATCATGAGTCTCATCTTCACGCCTCTGTCCCCATCCTTGCCCATCTGCCTTACACACTGGCCAGACTGGTATTTTTACAGCAGAATTCTGAGAAGGAAATGTCCCATTCCCTAAAAAACTTTTTGCTGCAGTCTATGTCTGACTAGCCTGCCTTTCAAGGCCACCCACCAGCAGCCCAACCCACCTTATTTGTCCCCAACCCCTTTAGACCCTATGCTCCATCTAAATGAATCACTGCTCCTGGTCTAAGTCTAGGCTTTCCCATCTTCACTGCCTTTGCTCACGCTGTTCTGTTTTCATTCAGAATTCTCTTCTCAGGTTCAATTCTTCTTGTGTTAAAATCCTACGCACCCTTTCACATTTGGATGAAATGGCCTCTCTTCCACACAGGTGTCCCTCATTCTTCCAGCACTCTCTCTGGAGCCCTCTTGTGACACATCTCCCTTTCTACCCCAATTTGCCGTGAATCATGTAGGTGTCTTGGCCCCTTAGTAGACTGTAAAGCTCATGAGAGATGAGTCTCCTTTAGCTCTCCAACTCGCCCCTCACCTTGCTCGTTGCCTGGTGGATACTGCCGCCAGATGCGCACAGTACGGTCATCACTGCAAGACGCCAGGCGCTGACCACTGGGATCAAAGGCCAAGCTCCACACAGTGGATTCGTGGCCCTCAAGGGTGGCACAGCACACCCAGTCATCCTCTTCCTCTCGGTAGAGCTTCACTGTGTCATCATAGCTGGCAGAGGCTAACAGCTGGGGGGGAGGGAAAACACAGCACCTGTCTGTATGGCCCAGGAAGTGCCTGTGATTCCAGTATCTCTCCTTGCTAGAACAGGACAGTCCCAGAGGTCTGCTTTTATAAAGGGATTAATGTCCTTTGGTCACAGACAGAGATCCCTTTAAAAGTCAGGCTGAGGCTGAAAAGTGGAGGAAGGCTAGGTACAACCCTCCACACCAGAATTCCTTTCCACCAAGACACTTTGCCTGATTCTTACCTCCTGGTTCGGATGCCAAACCACATGCTTGACATCCTGTGTATGGGAGTTGAGGACACTGACACATTCATACTCATCTTCTTCATCAACTGTGGGAGAAAAAAGAAAGGAGCCCATGAGCTGATCCTGTAAGGGACTGAGGGACACACAGGGCGATGTCCATCTGCTGGCTCCCAACTTTACCTGGAGGGACCCAGACTCACCTTCCCAGACCCACACACTCTTATCTCGGCTGCAGGTGGCAAGGAGGTTGCCAGATGGGGCCCAGGCCACTGATTTGACCTCATTTTCATGGCCCTCCAGAGTGGTTACACACTGTGAAAAGGTAAGACAGACAAGAATAACAGCAGCTAAGACCCCTGGGGTCCTTTTCATGGGTACAGCCAAACTGGCCTGGGTTGGTTAAGGTTCCTGAACCAGCCCGGGTAGGGGTGGGGATGGGGATGGGGATGACACAGGCAGTGATCCTGGTCCCATCCAAGCTAGTTACCTCAAAGTCATCCTGGTTCTTCTTCCAAATGCAAGTGGTAGCATCAAAGCTAGCAGAGGCCAGGTAATTCCCGCAGGGGGACCAGGCCACCTTGCGCACAGTGCGCTGGTGGCCTTCAGAAAGGACGGATTTGCAGATCCAGCTGTCACCTAAAAACAGAGGACAGGCCAGGCTCTGGAGCTGGATGCACAAGAAGGTGCTGAAGCACTACTAACGTCATTCGATAACGGGGGCTAGTACTGGAGCCAAGCTGGGGGACCACGCTCCAGCCTCATATTGAACATGCTTTTAGAAAGAGGTAACTGACTCCACTTCCTCTGGAAGCATCATTCTAAAATAAATCTGAGGAGTCACCCTCCTGATTTAAAACTGTCTATGGCTCCCAAATGCCCTCGGAATAAAATTCAAACTTGACCATCACGCAGCAAATTACTCTGCAGGCTACTTTCCTACCACCCTTCTCTCCTCATTTTCCTGTAGAAACTATCACAATTTCCTCAACAGTTCCAGCCTATCCATTGACGTTTTTGCTTCTAGCACTTGCCTACACTTTTGCCTGAAAAGTCTTTCTCAGAGCGGCCAACGTTCAACTGGAGGGAAGCCTCTCCCTCCTCTCCTTTGCCCGCCTGCCCCCCACACCATGCGCACGCGGAACCCTCGGCGGCAGGGGTCTCGCAGCGAGGCCAGGCCTGACCTTCTGTGCCCCAGATGCGGACTCTACGGTCGCCACCGCACGAGGCCAGCAGGGTTCCCGCGGGGTTCCAGGCCAGGAACCAGCAGCGAGAGTCCGGGTGCGCCGGGACACGGCCCAGCAGCACCAGCGAGTCCTTCATGGCGGCCTGGCGCAGGGTGTGGAGGAGCCAGGCAGAGTCAGCCGCGCCGACCGCGGGTGCCCCCACGCAGACCCCCGCGACGCCCCTCCGGCCTTCCGCTGCTGTCGGGTTCAGCCCCTTCCTCCCGGAGGCCCAGCTCGTGCGGGGAACTGAAGCGCCCGCTGATGTGGCCGCGCTGCCCTCTGGGAGTTGTAGTCGGCCTCCTAACCCACACCCAGCGGAAAGCATCTTGGGACCGCCTTGAACTACCAGTCCCGTGAGGCCCTGCGCTGTGACGCGACGGGGCGGGGAACCGGAGGATGCGGAGGTAGAGGTGGAGGAAGCCGGAAGTGGATCTGGGCCCGGTCGGTCCGGGCGTTGCGGGTTTGGGGCCTGGGATCACTCTGCCTGGGGCAGCTGAGGAGCCCGTGACGGGACGGAGCGGCGCCATCCCGGCCCTGAGGCCTGCTGACTGGTGAGGAACAGGAGTCAGTGTGGGGAGGGTCCTTTCTGGGCACAAGTCGCACCCCAGATCTAGTTCCCAGATGCCAGGTCCCCGATCCCCGCGGCCCAGCCTGTTCCTCCGCCCCTCGGCACCGGATGGCCGAGACCCCCGCTCTCTCCGCTACCAGTAGCCGATACCTCCGCCCCCCTCCCCTTTGAGTCTACCTAGATCCCAGCCGGCCCCCAGTCCTCTCCGAGTCCTCATCCCGCATCTCCGCAGCCCCATTTCAAGGACCCCGTCCCCGCCCCCCCCGAATCCCTGCAGCCCTCCAGTCCCTGTCGGCCCCAGGTCCCACCCCCAATCCTCCGGGGTCGGCCCTGACAGCACTGCGTTGTCCTCACCTGCCGCGAACCCAGCGCGTTGCTCTCCTCCCCGGGACAGGCAGGCTCTGTGCGCCCCGCGGAGGTCGGCGGCGACCAGCAGCGACCGCGGAGCAACGGCGGGCGGCCCCGGGTATGTACGCCCCCGGAGGCGCAGGGCTGCCCGGCGGGCGCCGGCGGAGGAGCCCGGGAGGCAGCGCTCTGCCCAAGCAGCCGGAGCGTAGCCTGGCCTCGGCGCTGCCAGGCGCCCTGTCCATCACGGCGCTGTGCACCGCCCTCGCCGAGCCTGCCTGGCTGCACATCCACGGTGGCACCTGTTCCCGCCAGGAGCTGGGGGTCTCCGACGTGCTGGGCTACGTGCACCCGGATCTGCTGAAAGGTGAGGGCGCTGCGCGCTGGCCCTCTTCCTTCTGTGCGACAGGGCCTCCTTGGCGGGGAGCAGGATGTAGTCCGGGCTGGAGCTGAGATAGCCGGGGGCAGGCACTTAGTTGAAGGAAACAGCCCCATTCCTGCCTGGTGTTCTTGCCCACCAGGTGGCTCTGTTTGGGGTCCGGCCTCTCATTAATTCTGATGTTATTCAGCCAAGCACCTACTCCTCACGCCATGCTAATCTGAACTGCTGCTATTTTAGGATTCTGCCGGAGGAAGGGCGCTGTATATCCAGAGAAGATGGGGTGCTAGGCATCACAATTAGCTGTCCCCTTCTAGGCAGCCTGTGGGATATAGGAAAGTTTCTTTGGGGCAGCCTGATTGATAGAGAAAAAGGAACTTTTAATATGGCTAGATTTTAAGAGATATTTTCTAGTTCTATAGTAGTCGGATTTTCATTAGAGAAAAAGGGAGTCTATGGCATTTTCTGTAACCAGCAGTCAGATCCTTTGCCACCCTCGGTAAAACAATCGGAATGTGGCTCCTGGAGCCATTAGAGGTTTGCTGGACTGAGGTGAGGTTGCTTTGTTCATCGTCGTGCTTCCCACCCAGGTAGACAGAGGAAAGGAGAAAAGGACTGCTCTCTTTACTGGACACAGGGGAGGCCAAGGCCTATAGGGGGGCCTGTCCCAGGGAGCCCCGAAGCTTATCATGCGCAGCCCTGTCTCCAGTGATAAGGGCTGTGTGGTGTGAGGGCAGGACTGCACTGCCTGGCTTTTACCCAAAAAATTGTCAGCAGACCCCAGACAGCCCTTAGTAACAGCACAGTTCATCACTGCCAAGGTCTTTTGAACCAGTCTTGAAGGTCTTCATATTTTCTCCCTGTGCTACTCCCCGGCTGTGATGCCTTCCAGATGTTTAAAGCCCCACATAGCAGAAGCCCTTTCTGTTGGGTATCTTCACATTGCCTCTTTAAGGATTCAGGCCCTGGGATTTGGTAAAAAGGTCAAGTTCTCCTCTGTGCCTTGGATCATGTACCATTTCTGCAGGTCTAGGCTGAAAAGCCTTATCCTGTAGCCTAATGTTGTCTTTCTCGGAGAGTTCTCGTACTGTTTTGCGTCTCTCTGGAGTTTCTGAGGCTTTAGGATGCTTTTGTAGAGAAACATTCTGGTTTGTCTCCAGGTTTCACTGTGATGATAGCCTTTTCTGGGTTGCCTCATTAAGACCAAATTATACACACGATGGAGGCCTTGGGACATGCCACTTTTTCACTGGCGTGTAGCTGATGGCAGAAAGGCTATCAAGCTTGAGTTGAGTCTGGGTGGTTTTTCCCTCAGCGCATCCCCCTGCCTTTGCTTTATTTGAAGCACAGCTGCTACTTTTCCACCACTTCATCTAGACTTTATAGTTGATGCGCTGGTGTTTCAGTGTTTCAAGAGCTTGGTGTCTCCTACAAACTGGGAGAGAGTCCACGATGCTTCTCCCTTTCAGATCATGCTGGGGAGGCTCATAAAATTCGTGTGATGGAGGGAGAGGCAAGCTGATCCCATGTCCTTATTTCAGAGGTCCAGCAAGCTGTGTCTCAGAGAAGTGAAGTGCTCTCTCCAGGGCCACACAGCTGGGGGTGACACAGCTGAGTCTAGGTCACATCTGTTGACTCCAGTATAAAATGATGCTGTCGTTTTACAATGATGTTATGTTTCTTAACCTTTATTTTACTTCAGCTGTTATAAGGAATGAGCTCACAATGATACCACTTTAGTGTGCATTCTCGTCAAAGGCGTGTAAAAAATAAAAATGAATTCTTGGTGCCGGTTCTCCTTTGTTCACATATATATTTATCCTTTCTGAGAAATTATTCAAGCCAGGTTTTGTCTTTTATAAAGCAGATTGCCTTAACCTTTACATCACGTTTGCACATGTGTTTACGGATCTTAATCCATGGATGGTTTCAACCTGCTTTCCTGTGGCCATCTCTTGGCCGTTGCAAGCTAGGAACACTTGCTGTCCATTAATAGGAGAGTTGACAGTGGTACCTCAAGAGCTGTCACAGAAGGGAAGAATCAGGAGGTCCCTGGTTGCTTCTCTGTACCTGTTGTTTTTTGGTACCCAGTGGGCCTTCAGACATATGCTATCCTGTGCGATTATGCCGATCCTCAGGACCTAACATGTCCTAGCGTGGAAGCCTGGCGTATTCCCCATCTCAGGAGGGAGCAGAGCTGTGGGGCACAGATCTGGTGCCTCTAGATGCATCCAGAGGGAGAACAGACACTGCCAGGTCTCTGCAGGTGATGGGGAGTGGGGCAGTGGGCAGGGCCAGCGGGCTTTGCAGTAGTGCCTTCCCGTTTCTCAGCCTTCTGCCTGAGTGCCGGGCATTGTGCTAAGCACACTCCCTGCCTGGCTTAATTTCTCCTAAGCAATATCTCTACTTGGCAGACACTGTCATCAGCCCCACTTTACAAAGGTCTCAGGTTCAGGGAGGTCAGTTAACTTGCTCAGGGGCACACAGCTGATCTGTGTGGCATTGACTCCACTCTTACTACCACACCTTAGTGCGCTCTGTGTTTCTTTTTCCTTCTGTCAGAGCTGTCCAAGGCTTATTTCCCCATTTTAGTTGAGGTTTTTCCACAAGCCTAGCCAAAGCTGTGCTTTTTCAAGTTGGTGATCCTAAGGCAAAGCCACTCATCTCCCTCTGCCATTTGCAGAGCCCCAGAGCCTGTAGCAAATGCAGGCCAGCTCAAAAGATCCTGTCCTGAATTCTTCCACTCCCCAGGGGGTGCCTGCTTCTTACATAGCTCTTTGGCCTGGCCCAAGTCCAGAGACATCCTCAGACATTTAGTGGCCCCAAGAGGGGGAGCCCCAATCCCTCTCTGCCTCTCAAGTATGGCCAGCAAAGGGCAGCACTGACAACAGCCTCAGGAAGCATCTTTGGAGAATGAGGAAGTTTGGGATTTGAAGTCAGGTGAAGCATGATTGACAGCAAGCCACTGGAAGATCAAGGGCCTTCCAGGGAGGGCTGGTATGCCTGAAGGGTGGTGACTGAGGCACGTGGCACTTCCGCATCCTGTGGGGCCTGTCCTCAGAGGCAGCTCAGCCAAGACCATTGGTATCTGTGGTGAAGACCCAGCCGGGCAGTAGAGGGCCCTGTCGGAGTCCTGTGGCAGAACCTATCTGGAAGCTAAAGAGTCACAGTGGGGACGATGAGCTCTGAGAAGGACTGGGGCTGTGGAAGTTCCTCTAATTCACAGAAACTCCATTGAGTGGGGGAAGGGAGGGGGGATGGGACAGAAGAAGGAAACTGGCCAGAAGCCACTTTAACCTTCCTGCCTGCAGCCTGTCTGGGTCAGGAGGCGGTGAGGCGATGGGCAGGTACACAGGAAGAGCCAGGGCCTTCAAAACAAATCCAGCCCAGTGACTCACCAGTGACCTTGGGCAAAGTCAGTTTCTTGGGATCCTATTACACAGCAGCTGCCTTCTTCCCTGGTGACTGAAGGGGACAGTCAAGCAATACTTACCAAAATAAACAGGCCACAGCACAATTGGAGGATAGGATGTGCTTGCCGTCTTACCAGAGTGTAGTGGACTGCACCACTGGTTTGAATTTCAAATTAGGACCCTGCCCCAGGTGCCATTTCTCTCCACAAATAAAATAATACATACATAACATTTGAGAATTTTGTTTCTCTTTAGCAGCTCTCTCAAGGGAGCAGATATTTGTTGCCCTGCCTGTCATGCTGATGTCCGGCAGGGCAGGAGAGGAGGAGACATTGAGATCCTGCCCCCAGGAGAGTCAGCGCTGGGTTCTGAGCGTGTGTGGGATAGCCCTGGCTGTCCTCTCTGTGTGCTCCGAGACCCTCTGATGAAAGAGCGCCTAGGATGTGGGGCAGGCTTCTGGGGTGTCTATTAGCATCACTCCGTGGAAGTTTACATTTGGTTTCCCCACCAAGCCTGAGGGTTTACTCACAGCTTTGGAGTCAAGAAAGGCAGTCACTTTGAAACAAAACCTGTTTGA